TACAACATGAAGAGTATGCAAAATATATTCCTACAAAAGATGTTAAATCAAAATATGTTACAAAATTATGAATCTACTTTCTGCAAAAAATGTTAAAAAATCGGCAATCAGAATTAGAAATCATCGATTACTTTTGTTTTTGATTTGCAAATTTCACCGATTAATTGATTAGTTAGCAATAATTGATTTGTAATCGATTTTTCAACTAACTAATTGATTATATTTTTGCTCTGATTCGTAACACTACAGAGGAGGTATTAGTAGTATAAGGGTTATTAAGGACATTTGTAACGGATGGGATATTAATAGTTCAAGGGACATATGATATTATTAGTAGGGACTTTATTATATATACGGACGATGTTTGCTCCACTTTGTAAGGCATGCTTGCCATAGCATTTTCTTTATTATATTAATAAAAGGACACTCTCTATTTGATTCTATAAACTACATTACGCACTCTTTCGTATTGCTAAATCACTATCTATAAACCCTCGTATCCTAACAATTATAATAAACCACAGCACAATTTCGTGTCTCTGTGCTCACGTGACTCACTGTTATCAGTTGCTCGTTTCCGAGAGGTAAATAAGCATAAAAAAAATGCAAGAACGCGTGACAACTATTTATTACGCGAGCGCAGTATTTAAAAGTGTTTTTTTAATTGATGAAAATCATAAACGGAACGGTTGAAGTTTTTTTTAGTTGAGCGCGGTCTTCCGTAAGCATTCCAGTCAAAGAAACTTTTTACAACCCACCATATCCAATTCCACCTGGATACACACCTATAACTCCTGCTGGACTCAATCTTTGAAATCGATCTTTATGAAATCCAGCAAGAAGTTTTTTTAGTTGAGCGCGGTCTTCTAAATTTCACTGTAAGAATTCCAGTCAAAGAAGTTTTTTATGATCCACCAAATCCAGCTCCTCCTGGATACATGTCAGTACCGTAAAATGCCATATAAGGTACCTGGGTATCTTACAATTTACATGATAAAATTTGATTTGTACCTCCGGGTACCTTGTATGGAGGAGGGTATATTATTTGGGGGGTACCTTGTAAGAAGATATATTATTAAGTATCGGTATATTAAGTGGAAGCAATATTTCATTCTTCTGGCAAATATGGCTTTATATTTTATATTCTAATGCCGTAATATGGCAATAAATTAAATTTTTTTTTTTTACATAAGTTATGGTACATTTACGGTAATTACCATTAATAAAGGAGTTTACTATTTGCTTTTTTTTTTTTTTTTAGAAAATTTTTCACAAAAATTTTTTAATTTTTTTTTTTTTGCGATTTTTTTTTTGCGAATGTTTTTTTTTTTCAAATGTTTTTTTTTTTAAGATGTAAATATAAGATATAAGATGTAAATATAAAATGTAAATATAAAATATAAGATATAAGACTTTGTTTTTTTTATACTAAAAACTTATTATAAACATAAACTTTAAGAAAACTTATTTTCAACATTATGGTTCTTCTGAAAAGTATTCCTACAACAAGACTTCAGCAAAAAAAATACTGACAGTGGACAGCCCAGGAAAAACTTTTTGTAATTTCTTATCTTGAAAGGATTCCTGGAGCTACTGTACGTAGAACAGCAGATAAATTTCAAGTTCAACCAAAGCAAATTTGAGATTGGAAAAATAAATGAGAAGAGCTATTGTTAGCTCAACCTCATATTAAACGTCTCAATGTTGGTGCTCGACCAAATTATTCTAAACTCGAAGAGGAACTTGCTAAACAGGTTCGAGCTTTATGTGACAAATTAAAACCAGTTAGCTATATTATGGTACAAAATAAAGCTGTATCATTAGCAAAATCTCCAAAATATATTCTTCACTATTCTAATATCAATAATTTTAAGTGGAGTAACAAGTGGCTTAATAGTTTTTTACGATGTAATAATTTTAGTAACCATCGTAAAACAACTATTGCGCAAAAATTACCAGCAGAATTAGAAACACAATGGCAAGAATTTCTTAATTTTGTTCAATATCACCGTATTCAATATGATTATCCGTTACAATTAATGGGCAATATGGACGAGACCCCTCTTTCTTTTGATATGCCAAGTAACGTAACTATAGATAATAAGGGAAATAAACCTATTAGTATTAGGACTTGTGGTTATGAAAAATCTTGCTTTACCGTTGTGCTTGCATGTTTGGCAAATGGTACGAAATTACTTCCAATGATTATTTTTAAGTTAAAAAATGTTCAACGGCTTGAGTTTCCATCAGGTGTAGTTATTAGAGCTAATGCAAGTGGATAGATGAATGAAATGGAAATGAGTTTTTGGATAGATAAGATTTGGCAAAATCATACACCAAATTCTGAGAATTCGCAGTTACTTTTAGTAATGGATTCTTTTCGGAGTCATTTAGTTCCTTTTATTAAAAATAAGCTTGCTAACAAAGGCACTAATATTGCAATTATTCCTGGAGAGTTAATGTCGAAACTTCAACCACTTGATGTATCAATTAACAAACTGTTTAAAGCAAAGGTGTTTCTTTTCTATTTTTTTTTTTTTCATAGTTAATATATGTTAATGCACCTTTTTATCAATAGATTAGAAATATGTATGATGAATAGATATCACAAGAAATAAGAGAATTAACTGAATCTGGACGAATTAAACGTCCTCCGTATAATATAATTGCAGAATGGATTAAGCGTGCATGGGATGATATTGATACTCAGCTAATTAAAAATTCCTTTAAGTGTTGTGGCATCTTAGTTGCAAATAATGGTTCAGAAGACGATTTAATTTTCGATTATGATCATATTGAAAATAATAACAATAAAGTCAATGAATATATTTTTAATGGTAAAAACTTGGTTTCACAACTTTAGTTTAACAAAACTTCTTATTTTAAAAATATTTTATTT